GACAAAAGAAACAATAAGCTCAAAGGAGAAAAGAACTCCTAGAACCAAGAAAGATTAGTAATCAAGCACAGACCATGAGGAAAAAGGGAAGGACTAAGAACAGGGAGATAAAGTAGAAGAGGAAGAAGAAAAAGAATTGTAGCCATGAATGAGTACTCAGAAAGGGCTAGGTACACTTTACACACATTAAAAAAAAAAAAAACAAAGACCGAGTCCAATGCCATAAAGTTGCTTCCCTCATAGCGACCCTATAGGACAGAATAGCCCCATAACGTTTTCAAGGCTGTAATCGTTACAGAAGGTGGGTTCGAACCCCCAATCTTTCACTTAGCAGCTAAGCACTTCACCACTGTGCCACCAAGGCTCCTGGCTACATTATGCACCTTTTAATCGTCTTGAAAACCCAAATGAGGCAGATATAGAAAGGCTGTTTAGGAAGGGAAGGGGAGTAACAGCATGGACGTTAGAGACAGAAAGAACCCTTACTAGTTACTGAGCTGCTATTAGCTGTATTGACTTCAGACAATTGTTTAACCTTTCTTTCTGTAAAATGAGGATGATGATGATGTCACCTAATTCAGAGAGCCATTGTGAAGCTTAAGTGCCCAGCACTTGCCAAGCACTTTTATGTGGCTTCTATTATTATTACTTTCACCACTGAATTGATAAACTGAGATTTGGAGAGATTAACAGGATCACAGGCAGATAAGTGTTAGCACTAGGACAGAATCCAGAATTTCGTGGGGCTCCTCCCACCAAGTCATTATCTCTCCTTGTTAAACCACAAATTCATACCTTTGTGTTACATGTGTAAAAGAGACCCTTTCCTCTTTGAAGACTTGTCTGTAATTCTATGGGTGAGAAAGGATTCCAGAAAGAGAGCCAAAAGAGCAAATTTTGGACATATTCTGATCTTTTAATCTCCAGCCTAGGTAAAATTTAGTAAACTCACTCTCCACTTCAACTTACCAATGGGGCCTTATGTCAACAACAAGGCAAAAACAGAAAACGGTTTAATTAAAACAGAAAACCTATTTTTTTTCTTAGTAACCCAATTCTCTGTTTCTGTTCCTCTTCTATCTTCCATCTTATCCAAACACACACACACACACAAGTACACACACAAAAATGGGGGTGGGGGAAGGGATAGTTAAAAAAACAAACAAAAACTACACCTTCTATACCAACTCTGTACCACTGAAAAAAATAAGCAACAGAATTCACACACACAATAGTCTATTTTGAACTTCCCATGTTAGCATTATTTTTTGCCCATAAACTATGGCTTAGTTACTTGTCTTGTTTCCTGGCACAGAGAGAATGGAAAATATCTTTTTAAAAAAAAAAAAGTAGCTGCCAGACTTCCGGCAACATGGCACTCTAAGCAGAAGCATCACGCCGTCCCT